TAGGGCGAGAGACCAAACAACTTGAAATCGAGATTTCAGAGAAAGTACAATTGGCCATGACATAGAATTGGGTCAGTAAGATGGGTAAAGAACTTGGTCAATGGAAATAAGATTTTTTTAAAAAGAGGCCAGAATATTGGTGGACTATTCTATTAAGTGGGCATTAGCAGGCATCATGATGGGAGCAGGAGTAGAAAATAAAGTGTGTCAGATGCTAAAGTCATCAGTCAACAAAAGAAGAATCACCAGGATCACAAGCATAGAGTGGGAATATAATTTGATTACGTGAGCTTCAAATTATCTTGGGTATTTGCAGGAGAAGTGGAGAGGAGTCCTGTTGCCAGAATATGTGGCTTTACAATCATTCCTCATATACAGAGTTTTTAGGAAAGAACTGAAGTCTACAAGATTGCCAAGAAGATTTTTAGCATCTATCTAGAAGTCAAGGAAGTGACATGAGTAACAAAAGATTTGGTTACTTGATGGTAGTGGAACATAAGAGAGTGTTGGGCTTAGCAAATAAGAATTTTGAAGAGTATCACCCTTTAAAGGAGACAGAAAAGAAGAAACAATAAGGAGAATAAGAAACATCTAGAAGGGCGGAAGTGGTACCACAAGTAGTGCCATAGAATCCAGGGAAAGATAACACTTCAAGAGGGAGGTAGTCATTGGCACTATAAAAGATAAGCAAAAGATAACAATGAAAGAGTGTCTTTTTGATATATAAATGTAAGATCGTTAATGAATTTGTCAAATGTAACATCAGTGGAGTGATGAAGGTAGAAGTCAGATTGCCTTAGATTGAAGAGTGAATTGAAGAAAGAGTTGTAGTCAATAATTGTAAATTATTCTAAAGAGGTCTGATATGAAGCTTGCAAAGGAAAGAACAAAGATAGCTGAAGAGAATAGCGTGGTTTAGAAATAATTTATTGTTGTTTTAAATAAAGACCTTGTAAATGAATACATTCTTCTCTGTTCACACTTATGACGTCTTATGGAACTGAATACATTCAATGACAATTATCTCTTCACAAACCTAGCATCTAAATTCTCTTGTGAGTCTATCAAAGGTGATGAACATATCCTTTTTTATTTGTGTGTGTGTGTGGGATGGAACCTCGCTCTGTCACCCAGACAGGAATGCAGTGGTGTGATCTTAGGTCACTGCAACCTCTGCCTCTCAGGTTCAAGTGATTCTTGTGCCTCAGCCTCCTGAGTAGCTGGGTCTACAGGCACACAGTGGTGAAACATAATGATTATACGTTCCACTGTGGTAGATATTTGGGTATCAAAGTTATTTTATTTAACTTTGATACCCAAATATCTACCACAGTGGAACGTATAAGCATTAAAAATAATCTTTTTGCATTGATTTCTACATAAAAACTATATTTTGGAAAAATGGAGAGATTAATAGGATTAAAGTAGAACAGTAGAAAAGAAGAATTCAAAAATGTTTTACAATGGCAAGATAAAGAGCTTAATCTTTATGGTATTATGTTTGACAGGAAAATAGATATCCAGAAAGAAACATCAGAAAGACTCCCAAGTATGTAAGTCTAAATGACTTGATATTTATGGGCAGCTGGCAGACAGAGAGTCATGAGTGAATTGGAAGTTTAGGAATCACTGGAGTGGAGGGATAGGTGATCATAAAGGAAAAACACTCAGATATCTTCTAGAATTGAGATGAGAGAAGTAAGGCGTGAAGTAGACGCTCTCCTCAACAAATGACCATTTAGCTGGGAATATTATTTAAACACACAAACACAATCATTTAAAGTCTCTGGGAATTGTCTTAAGGGCACACAGTAAACAGAAAAGTATTTATTCAAGAGAATCCATAAAATCTCTGTAAGAACAAGAAGAGACAGGTATTTGAGCCATGACTGACACCTCCCTGTATCAAGCTATTTCTAATAGAAACTACTAGGCGAACTCTAATCCAGTTGGATGTGATCAAGAGAATGGGGATTCCTCTTTTCCTAGTGCCAAATCTGGGACTACAATTTAACCCCAGGAAGGGTAGACTACTAGTGTTTCTTATTTATCTCAGCCCTGGGTTAGAGAAGCTCTATTCTGGGCAGTCACAAGTTAATTGAACTCTGTGCCTCTACCCTGTCTTTATTTATAGGGCAGAAACTCTAACCCAGATACAGAAGGCTGAGAACACTATTCCCTGATCACTCATGCCCCAGCTCACTCATAGGGTGTAGTTTCCATGTCAGGATCACATTACAGGTAATGTAAACTGCTTTGAAGAGGGCCAGTGGTTGGACTTAGCAGATAAAGACTTCAAAGTAGCTATTATAAATATAGTCAAAGCCTGAAAATCACACTTCCAGTGTGATTTGAAGGAAAGTATGGTGATAATATCTCACTGAACAAATAATCTGTATAAAGATAGAAATTATTTAAAAAACAAAAAAAAACAAAAAACAAATTCTGGCCTAGTGTGGTGGCTCATGCCTGTAATCCTAGCACTTTGGGAGATCACTTGAGGTCAGGAGTTTGAAACCAGCCTGGCCAACATGGTGAAACCCCATCTCTACTAAAAATACAAAAACATTAGCCAGGTATGGGGGTAGGCACCTGCAATCCCAGCTAATTGGGAGGTTGAGGCAGGAGAATCGCTTGACTCTGGGAGGCAGAGGTTGCAGTGAGCAGAGATTGCACCACTGTGCTCTGCCTAGGCAACAGAGTAAGATTCTGTCTTCAACAACAACAACAAAAATTCTGGATTTGAAAATTACAACTGACTAAATGTGGGACTCCATTTTGTGCACCAACAGCCACATAATTTGAGTGGAAAGAGGAAAAAGAAAAACAGAGAAAAGAGAAAGGGAGAAAGTATATGAAACTAAATAGTGACTTAAAACTTTCCAAATCTGATGTAAAAGATTAAACATCCAAAAAGTACAACAAACTCCAAATTAGACAAATGTACAGAGATCAACACCCAGGCACATCACATTCAAAATGTTGAAAGCAAAAGACAAAGAGGAAATCTGAAAAGCAGCAAGAGAAAAAATGACTCATCAAGAACAAGGGAACTCAAATAAGATCAGCAGCAGACTTTTATCAGAAAAAAATAGAAGCCACAGGCAATGGGATGACATAGTTGAAATGGTCAAAGAGAAAAAATCTTACAAAGATAACAAGGAATATTTTATAATGAAAAAAAGGTATGTTCACAAGGAAGATATAATAATTTTACACATTTATGTACCTAACAACAGAATCCCCAAATATATGAAGGAAACACTGATAATTGGGAGACTAAATAGACAATTTACAATAATGGTTGGAGACGAATACTTCTTTTCAATAATGGATAGAATAGCTCAGTAAAGATTCAACAAGTAAATGGAAGAATTGAATAATACTATAAAAACTAAATTTAACAAACATCTATAGAGTATGCCACTCAACAACAGCAGAATATTATCCTTCTCAAGTACACATTTGAACCTTCTCCAAGACACAACATAGACAAGGTCATAAAGCAAGCCTTAATATATTTAAATGGATTGAAATCATACGTAAGTATTCTCTCCAACCACAATAAAATTAAAATCAGCAACGGAAAGAAACTGGGGAATTCACAAATAAAACTGGTTCAAATAAGAAATCATAAGGGAAATCAGCACTCTCAGAAGAATGAAAATGATAAGGTAGCATACTAAATCTTGTAAGATTCAACTAAAGCGGTGCTCAGAGGGAAATTTATTGCTGCAAATGCCTATTTTAAAAGAGAAAGCTTAAGTTAATAACTTAATCTTCTACCTTAAGGCATAGGAAAAAGTAGAGAAAACTAAACCCAAAGCAAGCAAAAGAAAGAAAATAATGTGGGTTAGAGTAGAAATAAATGAAATAGAGAACGGCAAAGCATCGGAGAAAACCCATAAAGCTAAAAGATGTTTTTTTGCAGAAAGTCAAAAAAATTGACAAATTTTAGCAAGATTAATCTAGAGTGAAGACTGAAATTGACAAAATCAGGAATAAAAGAGGAGACGTCGCTGTTGGCCTTACTTAAGTATGGATTTAAAAAGGAAACTATGAAGAACTATATGCAAATACAAGTAAGTTTGATCACTTAGATCAATAATTCCTTTAAAGACACAAACTACTTAAACTGACTCAAGAAGAAAGAGAAAATCTGACTAAGGTTACAAAGGGCAAAAATACTTAATTAATAACTTTATAACTTTCAACAAAGCAATATCCAGGCCAAGGTGACTTTGCTTTGAATTCTAGCAAATATTCAGAAAAGAATTTAAATCAATTTTTACAACATCTTCCAAAAAAATAGAGAAAACTTTCAAATTTTATATCATCATTATTACCATAATACCGAAAACAGGCAAAATGTCACAAGAAAATAAATCTACAAATTCATATTCATTCTAAAATAGATGCAAAAATTCTTAACAGACTAGGTAAGAAAAAATGATCTTGCAATATATAAAGAGTTTATACCCAACAATAAAGTAGGATTTAATACAGAAAATCAAGGTTAATTTACATGTAAAAAAAGTCAATGTAATATATAATTTTAATAGAAGAACAAAACCACTCTATTATTTTTAAAGACATAAGAAAAAATATTTTTCTCATTAAATCTAATATACTTTCACAATTAAAACAAATCAACAAATTAGGAATAGAAGGGAATTTTCTTAATCTGATAATAGGCATGTATGAAAACCACAGCTTACATCAATAAGTAATTGGTGGATGCATTTCCTTTATATTTAGGAATAATATAAGGATTTTCAGACAAGAAAAAAAGCCAGTCACATTAGAAAGGAAAAAGTTAAACTATCAATATTCAAATATGATATGATCTTGAATGTGGAAAAATCTAAGAATTCCAAGAATAAAACTACTAGCATTAAGAAATGAGTTCAGCAGTGTATTAGGATTCCGGATGAATACACAAAATTAAATTATATATTTAAACATGAGTAATGAACAATCCAAAAATAAAATGAAAAATGTGTCCCTTATCTGGGTGGAGTGGCATCTGGTTGCTAATGCTCATCTCAAACCAGCCAGGGACAAGACAATATCTTGTTTATCCCAACTTGGCTTTTGGTCTATGTTCAAGACTCATTAATGCCTTGGACATATGGATTTCCAAGGGAGAAAATTAAGAAAAAATTTAATTTATAATAGCATCAAAAGGAATAAAATTATTAATAATAATTTAACATAAGAAATGCCAGACTATACAATAAAAACTATGAGACTTTCTGAAATATATTAAATCAGACTTAAATGTAAAAGTAGTTTATATTGGTACGGTATTATTAAGATTGCAATATTCCCCAAATTAATCTATGATTAATGAAATCTTTGTCAAAACATCTCGTGGCTTTTTTTTTTTTTTTTTTTTTTGGCAGAGAATGACAAGCTGATGCTAAAAATTCTTATGGAAATATAAAAGACCCAGGACTCAGATTGGCCAAAATGATCTTAAAAAGCAACAAAGTTGAAGCACTCACATGTCCTAATTTCAGAACTTGCTACACATACACAGCTGCAGTAGACAAGAAAGTGTGATACTGGCCTACGAAAAGACATATAGATCAATAAAATAGAATTGAGAGTGCATAAATAAATTTTTTTACATTTATGGTCAATTGATTTTTAACATAGGTGCCAAGGTATTTCATTGGGAATTAGGTAGTCTTTTTAATAAATACTGCTAGGACAACTGGATATTCACATGCAAAAGAATAAATTTTGTCTTTTAACTCACATCAGACACAAAAAATTATTTAAAATGGAACAGAAATGCAGGAGCTAAAACTATAAAACTCTTAGAAGAAAATATAGATGTAAATCTATATGGCCTTCAATTAGGCAATGCTTTCTTAGATAGGACATCAAAAGAACAAGTGACAAAATTAAAAAAAGTTGATAAATTAGACCACATCAGAATTTAAAACTTTTGAGCTACAAAGGATATCCTCAGAAAGTGAAAAGACAACCCTAACAAGAGAAAAAAATTTGGAAATTATATGCAATAAGGGACTGATGGATATAAAAATGTATTAAAAACTCATAGAACTCAATGATAAAATGTTAAATAATTCAATTAAAATGTGCAAAGGATTTGAATATATATGTCTGAAAGAAGATATAGAAATAGCCAATAAACACATGAAAAGGTTGGTTTTCAATGTCTTAGCTATCAGGGAAATGCAAATCAAAACCACAGTGAAATACCACTTCACATCAATAGGATGGCTACTATCAGAAACAAACAAACAGAAAATAAGTGTAGGCAAGAATGTAGAGAAGTTGATACTTTCATTTGCTGCTGTTTACAATGTAAAGTGATGCAGCCACATTGGAATACAGTTTGACAATTCCTCAAAACTTTATAAAGTTACCAGATGTTATAGTTATTTTCTTTTTCAACTTGCGTGGATCAGAGTATGCACTGGCCTACATTATTTCTGAGTGTGCCTGTGAGGGTAGTTTCAAAAGAGGTTGGTTTTGAATTAGTTGACTGGGTAAAGCAGATTTCCCTCCCCAATGTGTGAGTACATCATTCAACCCACCAAGGGCCTAAATAGAACAAAAGGAAAAAGGTTGAATTCTCTCTGCCTGCTGCGTAAACTGACACATTGGTCTTCTCTTGCTCTTGTGCTGAGACTTGTACCCTTCAGTACTACTGGATTTCAAGACTTTGAACTCAGTCCAGAATTTACATTACCAGCTTTCCTGAGTCTTCCATTGCAGATGGAAGATTGCTCAGCTTCCATGATTATGAGCCAATTCTATCCCTATCTAACTATCTGTCTATCTATCTACCAACCTACCTACCTATCATCTAGCTAGCTAGCTATGTACCTACCTATTATCTATCTATCTATATCTCCTATGGTTATATTTCTGTGGAGAATCATAAATAATACATATTTTGGTACTGAGAGTGGGGTATTTGCTTATATCATTTTCTGGAATGAGGGAGATAACAAAGCAACCATTTATAAAAATCGAGAAGCTAGGTGACTGTACATGATGCTTTGAACATTTTCAGGAAACTGAATTATATGTATATAGAACATTGAAAAACACATATTCATAAATTTTAACACTACAAACTTTCTCTATATCTTCTTATTGTATCCGTAGAAAATATACAGTGTTTAATCACATGGTAAGTAGAAAGAAAACTTATAAAATTACTACACTACCTAAAAATTATATGGTTTATCTTTCTCTCAGCATTTCCCAAAGAAACCTACAACCTTTTACCAGGATAACTATGCATTGAGGAAAAGAAAATGAGCACTTTTGGGACGACTAAACACCAACTTTGAACTGATACTATTCCAGGACATCCCATTGTCACTGTGGCTTTCTAAACAGAGTAGTGGCTTATGAAGATCAGGTAATAAATGGAGTTTTAGCTCAGGTCTGTTTCATGGTGTGCTTTTTAGTTCCCCATTTCAAGAACACATAATTGGAATAGACATACTAAGCAGATGGCAGAAACCTCACATTGTTTCTGACTCATAGAGTGAGGACTATTACAGTGGGAGAAGCCAAGTGAAAGCCATTAGAACTGTCTCTACCTAGGAAATAATAAACCAAAACCAATAATGCATTCCTGGATGGATTGTAGAGATCAGCACCACTATTAAGGACTTGGAGGATTCAAGATTGGTGATTTTCATCACATGCCCATTCAACTTGACTGTGTGGCTCGTGCAGAAGAAAGATGGATCTTGGAGAATGACAGTGCATTATTACAAGCTTAACCAGGTTGTGACTCCAATTGCAGCTGCTGTACCAGATGTGGTTTCCTTGCTTGAGCAAATTAACATATCCACTGATGCCTGGTATGCAGCTATCGAGCTGGCAAATGCTTTTTTCTAGTTACTTGTTAGTAAAGACTGCCAGCCGCAGTTTGCTCTCAGATGGCAAGGCTAGCAATACACCTTCACTGTCCTACCTCAGGGGTATATCAGCTCTCTAACCCTGTGTCATAAATTACTTTGTGGGTATCTTGATTACCTTTTCTTGCCACAAATTACCATACTGATTCATTACATTGATGATACTATCCTCATTGGACATAGTGAGCAAGACGTGGCAGCTACTCTTGACTAATTCATAAGAAATTCATGTGTCAGACGGTGAGAACTAACCGACTAAAATTCAGGTGTCTTCTGTCTCAGTGAAATTTCTAAGCATCCAGTTGTATGGGCATGTCGAGATATTCCTTCAAGGCAAGAGATGAGTTATTGCACCTGGCCCCTTCTACAATCAGAAAAGAGGCACAGTGCCTAATGTGCTGCTTTGGACTTCATAACCAACATATTCTCATTTGGGTGTAATACTCTGGTCTATTTACTGAAAGACCTGAAATGCTGCTATTTTCGAGTGAGGTCCAGACCAAGAGAAGGCTCAGCAAGAGGTCTAGTCTGCTGTCCGAGATGCTCTGCTGCTAGGGCTGTTTGGTCCAGCAACTCTAAATGTGCCTCCAGTGTCAGTGGCAGACAAGTATGCTATTTTGAACCTTTGGCAGTCCCCTATAGGTGAATCACAGGGCACACTCTTAGGAGTTTGGAGTAAAGCCCTGCCATCCTCCACAGATAATTGCTCTCCTTTTGAGAAACAGCTCTTGGTCTGCTACTGGGCTTTAGTATAGACTGAATGAGCCACCAAGTTACCATGCAACCTAAGCTGCCATCGTGAACTGGGTGTTATCTGACCCATTAAGCCATAAAGTTGGACATGAACAGTAGTATTCTATCAAATGAAAGTGATATATATGGCTATATGGGGTCAGGCCAGAGCAGGCCCTGAAGGGTCAAGTAAGTTACACAAAGAAATAGTCCAAATGTGCATTTTTCTATATGAAAGAGGCAGCATTTTTTATTCTTACTGAAATGAATACTTCCTATGAACATAGATTTGCCTTCTCTGCATTCAGTGATTTTGTCAAAACTACCATTCATGGACTTACAGAATGCCTCATCCATCATGTCATGGTATTCCACACAGCATTGTTTCCGTCAGGAAACACAACAAAAAAGTGCTTCAGTGGGCCCATGCTCAGGGTATTAACTGGTTTCACCATATTCTCCATCATTCGGAGGCAGCTGGCTTCAGGAAGATGTGGCATGGCCTTTTGAAGACCAAGTTACATTGTCAGCTAGGCCGCAATGCCTTGTCGGCCTGGGGCAAGGTTCTCCAGAAGACCGTATATGCTCTGAATCAGTGTCCAGTATATGGTATTGTTTCTCCCATAGCCAAGATTTTTGAGGCCAGGAATCAAGGGGTGGAAGCATGAGTTGTACCACTCACTATTATGCCTAATGATCCACTAAACAGTCTTTTATTTTCTGTTCTGGTGACCTCATACTCTGCTGCACTAGAGGTCTTAGCCCCAGAGGCAGGAATATTTCCACCAGGAGTAATAATTATTCCACTGAACTGGAAGTTAATATGGCCACCTGGCCACTTTTTAAGGCTCCACATGACTCTGAATCAACAGGATAAGAAGGGAGTTATTGTGTTGGGTGAGATGAGTAATTGTGGCTACCAAGAAGGAGTGCCAGGATACAATGGAGGTAAGGAGGAGTATGTTTGGAATACAGGAGATCCCTTAGGGCGTCTCTTAGTATTACCATGCCCTGTGATAAAGGTCAGTGGAAAACTACAATCTAATACACTCAGGACCAATAATCAACCAGATCCCTCAGGAAGGAAGGTTTGAGTCAACTCACCAGATAAATGACCACAGCCAGCTGAGGTGCTTGCTGAAGGCAAAGAGAACACAGAATGGATAGCAGAAGGTGGTAGTTATAGATACCAGCTCTAACCATGTGACCAGTTATAGAAATGAGGACTGTAATTGTCATTAGTATTTCTTATTTTGTCATGGAGGGGTGTGTGTGTGTGTACATATCCGTGTGTATCCTACTGGTTCTATTTCTCTGGAGAACTTGGGCTAATACACGATATGATTCAGCATTTCCTCTCCTAAACATAAACCCGGGAAAATTGAAAACATGTTTACACAAAGTCTTGTACACCAATGTTTATAGCATTATCATTCATAATAGCCAAAAAGTGGACACAACCTAAATGTACATCAACTGGTGAATGG